AAGGGACAAAGCCGAGCGTAAGTGCGTAAGTGAGTGAGTGAGTGAGTGAACATTATGAGCATTAGGAAGCAGAAGGCTCGAGTGAGAAGAAAAACAATTATCAATGATGAGTCTGCTACCTCAATTGCCTGCTATGAATTGAACATTTGCTCCTAGCCACTAAAATACTCTGGACTATCCCCATAGGTTCAGGACTGAATTTATTCAGATCCCGGGTAGAAGTCGCTGCATTTTGTCCAAACGGCGCATGCACAACCCTACCCTAGACCACTCACTTGTCTCCCAACAGACAGGTGTTTAATCATAGTTCACGGGGAACCGCATCTCTCATTACTGTCTCCTTCCGAGGCAAGTAATACTGACTACAGTGGCCTCAGCCACATGCCACTGAACTTTCATTGATCACGTCGTGTCTAGTTACTCACTCCTAAATGTTTTGAAATTTTCTAGGACACAGACGCACTTTTAGAGTCAGTTGCAGGTCTACATGACCCGCGAGAACTTCCATAGGTCTCATCTATTGCAGATGTAGACTAATGATTGGAAGGAAGTCCTGTTGTTGCAACATAAGAATCACCAACATTTTCAGGCCATTGCTTAAGAGTTTATCTCTATAGTGATGATAACGGGCGTCTTCACGACCCCGGGGGGCTACGTTATCTTTTTTTCATTCTGCTTGTTTTTCCTGCTTTTATTTCCGCAGAATAAAAGAATAAAAGCATGACGTCCCGATTCATCGGATCGTCATGAGGGGGAGAGTGGTCCACATGCTGTTAACACTGAACAAATCATTCTGGGACACTTCACTCCTCCATCACAAAAATCAACACCTTCTCTGCTATCTCTACAACTCAAATCAAATGGTCAGCTACACTCACAAATCAACAATCATTATGTTCCGCTGTGCCACCGACAAGTTCTCCTCAAATGCATTCATTCAAAACAGTCAAAAAGACTACATTGTGGAGGAGACATAGGTCAAATACTCGTGTCCTGAAGATGAATTCCAAGGGCGCCTCCTATTCTCCAAATAATATTCATTGTAGAGGCGTCACCAGAATTCATCCAAGCTGATCAAGAGCAACTTCTGGAAGACATGGACTACAAGCAAGATATTGAAGATTCCTCAACCCGCGGCATCAAAGATCAAATTTTCAAGAAGACATCAAAGGGGAGATTGCAAGGATTTCTTCAGATAGCCTTCTTCAGAAGTCAAGTTAAAAGACAAAGGAAGCTCAATAACAACAAAGACAAAGATATCTGCGCTGCAATGTTGATTCAACACGATTGATCACCAAGGGGGAGATTGTTGGGAATATTTTATGGTGTTCAATCTAGTTAGTTATCTTTGTATTTGTGTAGTTATTAATTAAACGTGTAATACGGGCCACAAATGTGTATCAGCCCGTGGGCTTCCTTGTAACCCGTAAGTTAGCCAACTTCTCCTATAAAAGGAGGCTAACTTACGGGAACCAAACTGATCGACAGAGGCTTAGAGGCGCAGAGGCGAGATAGAGAGATATTAGGGTTGCCGCTGCTCTCCTTCTCTAGGGAGAGCAGCGGACAGTTCATACGGTATACCAGATTCGCGTTCAATTTGGTCGATTTCTTCCTATCTGCTTCTATATTACTGCTTATGATTGTATGAATGTTAGAATTTTGGGACTAACAGGAAGTATTTGTGAAGTTTTTGAAGGCTTTCTATCTGGTGATTCTGGTCACTTTAAAAGTTAGTGCAAGTAAGTATCCCACCTCTAATACTGTTGTTCATGATGTCATTACTGTGGAGAATGAGATTGAAAGGTTGTTTTTGACTAAAAATATGAAACCTACATGTAACGTAGAACAGGTTCTACATGATATGGCGATGAACATGAGAGCCAAATATCAAAAATATTTTGGTTCTATCAAAAATATGAAACCCTTAATCAAGTATTTGTAGTAGCTCTCATTTTAGATCCAAGGTTCAAATTGACGCACTACATGCACTTGTGTAGAAAGCAATTGAAGTTGGTTGCGGATGAGATTGTAAAGAAAAGTGATGAAGTGAAGACGTTGTTGAAGGAACTATGTGATGAATATGGTCATCATGCTTTTGGCTCACAACCCCAACACAGGAGTAGAGAAGATGTAGGTTCTAGTGGGAAGCAATCATCTTCAAGTGCGGCAACTGAAGATTCAATGATATTTAGTCAATTGATAGATGATTGGGAGAAGGAGCTAGAAGACACCGAGGAAATTGCACTTGCACATGAGGTGGATAGATATCTTCTTGATACACTAGAGAAAACACCGTATGGCTCTACCTTTGATGTTTTAAAATGGGGGGAATTGAAAGGGAGAAATGCATATCCTACACTTGCTTTGATAGCAAAAGATGTGTTTCCAATTCAAGCATCAACAATCGCAGGTGAGAGTGCTTTTAGCACAGGGAAGAGAGTCATTGACCCATTTAGATCATCCCTTCTTCCTCAAACAGTGAAGTCACTAATATGTCTCCAAAATTGGTTAAGGAGTGAGCCAATTACATATATTGAGTATGAAGCGAGCCCAACGGAACTCGAGTTTTATCGAGAGTGTGAAGAAGGTAATAATTTATTTGTGTAAACTGTAAAGTTTTATGTCCTTTTATCTTATTTTAATTGATTTATATTTCATTGTTATACAATTTTTTTACAGGATATAAACAGAGAAGAGCATCACAAAGTGCAATTACAAGCTCTGTCTCAGATGAAGATAACAGACCTCAAGCAAAAAATGATAAAGGAAAGGGGATCATGGTAAGTCCTTCGTTTTGATACTTTAAGTCGACTTATAATTAGTACACATGAAGTTCATTATTTTCTTTACCTCACAGGTAGTTACTTTTCAATCATTGTAGTTTCTTATTGATAATTAGTATATTAGTAGTTACTATATTGATGTTTTTTCTTAATTGAAATACATGTCCAGTAAATGTGAAAGGTCCTATTCACCTATTGTATTGGCACTTTGGCAGATTACCATTGGCATTTGGTAATGAATTCAGTGGGCAGAATCATGCAATACTTATAGAGTTATAGGTTAACATATTATTGGTTAGTTGGGTTTTTAATTTTGAATTTTATCAAGTTGTTTCTAGGTATATGTTTATTAATTGGTTTCATCTTGTTAATAACTTTTGACATGAGAGGAACAAAAAACTTGATAAGCAGCGCTGGTTTTGAAGTATTGATGTGAAATCCATTATCAGTTTTCTTTAATAAAGATTTGTTGCTTATTCTGGAGAAAATATCATATACAAACTATACACTGCTGCAAACATTGCTAGATGTTTGTAATTATGTATGTTGCTCGTGTGTCAGTGTGGCACCTAACATGTTTGAAAATCTGTGCATCTGTAGAGCTTGTAGGGGCACACTCCAAAACTGGACTAATAATATTCAAATTATTATACTTTATTTTCTTATTGGTTGTTTCTTTTTGTTTGCAGATTCACTGAGGAATATTTGTTGAGAGTACTGGCAGCAAACTTGGAACCTGATTTCTTTTTTATTATATTTTTTGAAGACCACCGGTGGTTTCTTTTTGGAACTTCGAAGTTCAAACTGTGTTTATGTTTTACTTTAAATGGGAAATTGTGCAATCTTGGTAGTTGGAACTTTAAGTTGTTGTTTTATTTGTTATTGCTTTACTTTCTATTTGGTGATTAGCATGCATTTTATAAATCCTCCTCCAGTTTCATTGGATGGTTAGTCCCGAGTTTCATCCATGACTCCATGTATCAATGTCTGCTTTTTAAAATGTAATATGTTATCATTTTTTAATCTTTAATTTGGTTTTTGCATGTGATATTGTGATTCTACAGAATGTTTAAGACTTTAATCTAATTGCAAAAAAATGACTAATACCCAAAACCTGGACCGAACCGACCCGTTTCAAATGGGGTGGGTAAGGTTCGGTTCCTATTATTAGAATTCATGTACCCGCCCCGAACCTACCCGGTCAATGGAATCGAACAGTTCCTAATTTTTGTAAGATTACCCGACCCGACCCGACCCGTGCCCACCCCTACCGTGAAAGGTACTGCGGCGGTCGACATATTTGCTAGGGTTGGAAAAGCCTAGGCTGCTAATACCATGTGAGAGAATAATTATGAGAGAATGGCTTGTCCATCAGGGAGCCCTAATATTGTATTAATAATAATAATATTAGGAGTAATTATACACAAGTCCTTAGAAGTATATTATTATTATGGTCGAGATAGATTTCCTAAAACCCATACCAAATTTTTTTTGGCTTGAGGACGAAGGGTATGAGAGTTTCTGGCAATATATCTTGATAGCGGATTAACTTCTCCCTTACTGTAATAAGTGTTTTCATATTGGACACTCTGAAGGGAAATGCTCTAAGAATAAATTTGTTCAAAAGGAGACTCAACCTGATTCCAGCCCTATCCTAACATTGGATATGGGAAAACACGTAGCTTCTAACAAAAACAACCCACCCCACCACCCCGTAAGCTGCACGCCCCAATCTGGCGTAGGATTGATCTTCAATTAGGTCAATCCTCGGAGTTACTATGGGTAAGGATGATGGACCTCAAACTGATCAATTTGGGTATGTCTGAAACAACCAAAGTCCCTGATAATAATGCACCTGTTAGCAACAATAATTATAAGTGTGCTACTGATGTGGATGATACTGCTATCCCCTCTGAATCTATAGTTCTGACTAACCACCAGGATGTGGAGGGTAAAGCCATAGACCACTCTCTGAACTCTAATGACCCTAAAGATCTTTTACCTAATGTTTAGGATATCGTTGCAGCTATTATTGGTAATCTCATACCTACACCTTCATCACCAATCAGTACCCCTTCCCAGAGCTACACTTACAATTACCTGGTTCTAAATGATGTGAACCAGGAAGGTGATAAGTTGAATAATCAATTGGAAATGGATTTGGAGCCCAGAGAAACCCCATTGAAGGGGAAGAATCCAAAAAACAAGGGGTTTTCCCTTAATATTACTAAATTAAATCTAATTTCCAAAAAAGTGACCATATTTACATTAAGACAAAAAGTGACTAATGCAAAGTTACATTTCCACAGTGACATTTCCGAAGCAGTGACATCTCCGCCATCACCTGTGTCACTGCCGCAGGTTGCCGCTGCCGGCCACAGTGAAACATCCGCAGTGACAACTCTGCAGTGACAACTCCGTAGTGACATCTCTGCCCCAAACTTTGACCACAGTGACATCTCCATCATCCGGCCAACACTGCTATCCACAGTGACAAATCTGTGGTGACATCTCTGTAGTAACAACTCCGCAGTGACATACAATTACTCCGACCACCGTCCTCCGAGAAGTTTCCACGCCAGCACCACATTCCACCACCATCGCCACGCCACTGCATTCCACCACTACGTTGCCGCTGCACAACGTGACCCCAGTGCCGCCTAACGACTTGCAGCAGCCCACACAACCACCTTCCTGCCTCGCTCGAGCCCCAACAGCCCCAACACCACTAGATCTGAAATAGGGTGGCAGATTGAGATCGACGAAGCTAGCAAACAAGACAAAGAAGGTATCGTGCAGCAAAGAAGGAGAAGACATTCACCCTACGCCGCCACCGCCACAACGAAGAAGAAGAAGACGATTCACCCTAGCCCAAAATAGGGTGGCGACAGCGGTGGAATTGCCATGGCTGCGACCTTGGCAGCTGGCGGAGGTGAGGCGTAGGGAGAAGACATGGGCGAGGACGGCGGGAGCGGCGGTCTGTCTACCCTGTCCGCAGAGGCTATGGCGACGATGTAACACCCCCAAATTTCCCACCCAAAAATACATTTAAATAATGATTTATTGGAAAATATTATTAACTTTATTTGAAAACATCACAAAATGTGCAGCGGAAAATTCAAAGGGAAATAGGGGTGCTACCGCCACACTCGGTTCTCTCTTAACCGAGTGCACAGGCTAAAACAACTTAAACTTCAAAATCAAAAGCTCATTGATTAAAGTTATTGAAAAAAAATTTACAATGATTTACTAATAATGTTTTCTAGCGGAAGCTCTCTCTCGAAATCAACTTCAACGGGACCAACTCAACACCTGTACAAAATCAAGTACAGAAATGAAAATAAAAGAAACAAATATTAGCAATAATGCCAAGTAAGTTCCACCTAACCTTTTAAAATAATAATAAATAATATATATAAAATTCGTACAACCTCATAAAATATTTTTCAACACTTTATAAACCATAAATCATAAGTAAACGATATCTATATAAACTCCCAATCACATAATTAACTCGTAAACCATAATAATTTAAAAATACATGAAACACCAAACATTCTCCTCTTTTGAATTCCCCCCAAAATCACTTTGTATCTAACTTCCTAGTAATTTAGAAGGGCGGTGCTCAACACTTTGGTTGAGCCCGGTGGTCCGTTGTTATGTACGGCCACTCCGGAACTATCGCCGGTACCACAACTGCTCCTTTGAAACGGAAACAACTACTTTAAGTGTGCACACCCCCTAAAGGTATTCCAAGCCCTCCGGGTTAGTAAGTCGATCCGGGTAGCCAGGATGTTTTCTACCAACTACCCCACCTCAAAACCTGAATGATTAGGAGCTACTACTACCACTACTACTCAAAAGCCGGGATGTTTTCTACCGACCGACAGTTCACCTCAAACCAACACAAACCAAAAATTGAGTAGTAGTAGACCTAACCATCCTCCACATTTTAAGGGACGTGGAAAACCAACACCACGGATTTCTTCTCGTGATGCTCACCCTTTATGAAAATATTTATTTCTCTTTCAAAAATTTCCTTTTTCATTAAACTCCCACAAAGATAACAAATTACGTACTATTACAAAATCTTCCAAAATAACTCATATCAACAAACTAATATCTCAAATACAATCCTTTTATATAATACTATTCAAATTCAGCACACATAAATTCGATTCTCAAATAAGCACACAAAAATATTTAAAAGAAATCACGAAGAAAAAGAACTAATTTCGGTTGACGTGAAACTTACCTTAAATCCCGATGCTCCTAATTCTCTTCTTCAGTTCCGGTCTCTAAATATTCAACTTTTTAATTAAGATGATATAATTAGTCACTTATTCTCTTTGTAATTATTTTACCCAATTTTCTCCTTTTATTTTATTATTCGAATTTATTAACTTAATTTATTAGTTATTCGAATTTATTTGATTAATCACTTTTTATTAATCAAATTACCTTATTAATTCAGCCATTAATTACAATATTTGAATTCTAATATTAAATACAATATCCGAATATAATTAACTACAACATCCTATTTTTTATTCAATAACCACCATTAATTTACTCTACTAAACAAATATTATTTAATTACTTTATTTATATTAACCCATTAATTTATGAGTTCAAATATTTTAAATATTTATATGAGGTCCGAATCTCTAATAATCAATCATAAAAATTATTAATTGAATTAGTCCACTAATTACGTAATTAAGTTATTTATTAAATCTACATATAGTCAATTATTTATGTTAGCTAATCCAACCTCATTTTATTTTCCTTATTTTATTCCAATATCATTTTTAGTCCAGAATATTATTTTTCAATCTCAGTGATTTGTTTATTTCACCATTAATATTAATATTTCCTTATTTAATTACTTAACTAGTTTTATATGGCCCAATTAAATTAAATAGACTAAGAATCGACTTTATAAATTAAAAATCGTCTATAACTATATTTTGGGTCTATATTTGACCTAGGTTGTCCAGATATCTATTTTATAATTATTTCCATAATTATTCACTTAATTCCATATATCTATTAACCGGTTCAATTACAATTAAATATACTAAATCTTAATATTTATTAATTATAAATGGTCCATAAGGTCCTAGTTAGTCATATATTTATCCTAGTTTAATCCAATATTTATTTCATAATTATTTTCGTTATTTAGTTAATTATTTACTAAATGTGTATAAATTGGCCCAATTACAATTAAATCAATCAAAAATAGCTAAAAATATTAGTTTTCAATTCTGGTTGGTCCGAATATGTATATTTATACTAGGTATTTAATTTATATTTTTCCAGATTTTATTTATTTGATTTACTATTTTATTTTTAATTTTTATTAAAACTGGGCCGAACTGGGCCATTAAACCGACCCGGCCCAAGAGTTCTGACCCAGACAACTGGGTCATCTTCTCCAGGTCGATTCCAGCAACTTCGCCGGAAACTAGAAAACTCCGGCGAGCTATAACTTGACTTACAGATAACGGATTTCGACGATTCAAGTTGCAAAATGATCCTTGCGTCGAGACGAAGCTCCTCCACCCCTATCTATGGCAAAATATCTGCTTTTTATAAAGACCCGCTTCCACAACTTGCAACTCCGGCGAGCGATATCTCTCTCGTTTCACGACCGTTTTCTACGATTCTTTCACCGTTGGATTCGTCTCAAGAAGGGGAAGGTTTGAGAAGTATTTTAAGGCTCGGTTATTGCTAAAACGAGGGGTCGAAAAATTTTGTGTATATATATATACGTATATATGTATATATATGGGGCTGAACTGATCGTTTTCTTGGTGAATGAAACGCAGGTTAGGGATGTCATTTATATGTGTAGATCGAGGGTTAAGGCTGTGTTAGAGTTTGTGTAGAACTTAATTAGTTTCTCCCTCACCCATTGGTAGTTTACATTGTGTAGGAGTCACACTACTACATTTTTAAACCTAATGTAACATTAATGATGTAACATATCTATAATAGTGTTACCTATTTCTCTAATGTAACACTTTTTAGACCTAGTGTAACACTTTCTAGAAGTATAAGGGTTACATTAGGTACTATAAAGTGTTAGAATAGGTCAAATGCAACACCAGCAAATGTAATGGTAAAACAATGTTACATTTTCTCTGAAAAGTGTTACATTAGAGAAAATGTAACACTTATACTTCTAGAAAGTATTACATTAGGTCTAAAAAGTGTTACATTAGAGAAATAGGTAACACTATTATAGATATGTTACATCTCTAATGTTACATTAGGTCTAAAAATGTAGTAGTGTCGCCGGCAGGTTATGAGATAATGTCGAAGAAGAATTCATATTTGGTTGTGACTGTGTAACCTCCCTTTGTTTTCTAATTCATGTAACGTACGTATATGTATCCGGACTTTTACAAATGGTTGTGCGTGCATAGTAAGTTTATATACGTATTATAATAGGTTTGTTTTAATAATATTACTACGTAGTTGAATACTTGAGCGGCAGGTATTGTGTTATTATACTTAGGTATACCTTAGATTTTTAGCAGTAGGTGTTAAGGTATTAAATTTGATAACTTTTACTTCTTATGTCATATGTATACAGGTACGTAATATAAAACGTTACTTCTATTATCGGATCATTTTTATCAGACTAAACATGTCATAAACGTTAAATTTTTGTCTGGTTCACTTGTTTACTAAAATATTGTTTGTATTACTGGAATAATTTTTATCTGACTAAACATCATAAATTTATAATTTTTATCTGATTCGAATGTCACATCTGTTGAATTTTTTGTTTGACTCACTTAGTAATTAAAATGTTATTTTCGTAATATTTTATCTGACTAATAAAAATTATTTTTATTTTTATTTAAATTTTTGAAGTGTCACAGACGACTTTGGGGGTGGTCTCCTCTGCTCCTGCAATAGCCTGGGGGATCTTCCTTGGATGGCTTTGGGAGTTCCTGTGTCGATTTGGCTTAAGAGACAAAAAGAATGGGCTGGATGGAAAGTGATGGGCTGGGTAAGTCATATTTTTGAAAAAAAAGGAAAAGTAGTCATTTTTGTATTTGACAAAGCTATTAGTAATATTTGTGTCATTATTCCAAAAAACAAACATTTTTCGCACATCTCTTCTGGCCCCTCGAAACCTCCTACTAATAGAGAGCCTTACGGTCTAAGGCCCAAACAATCTGCCCAACCCCTCATTTTTTATGATTAATATACTTATTTGGAATATTCGAGGGATCAGGAACAACGGACTGACCATGTTAACCTTTTATGCAAAACTTATCGTACCAATTTCCTGGCTATTATTGAATCCAAAATAAATCCCAACAAATTGCAAAATAAAATGTGGGATCCTTCTGGATCATGTGGGATCCTTCTTACACTGTCAACATTATTTCTGACTTATCTCAATGCATTAATCTTTCTGTCACTTCTAATCAAATGGACTTTCCTGTCTATATTTCTATTGTTTATGGTGGTAATGACAGAGTTACTAGACATACTTTATGGGATGACCTGAATACTTTCAGGCACAACATATGGTCTAAACCTTGGCTCTTGGATGGAGATTTAAATGTAATTAGCAATGCTAGTGAGCACAATGGTAAGAGTATTTGCAATAAGTATGATATGGAAGAGTTCACTGAATTCATTTTTTTAAACAGTGTTTATGAGCTTAACTTTTTTTTGAACTCGGAAGGTAAACCACCAAAATCAGTGGGGCAAACGCCGGAAAACGTTTGACAGATTTTATTAATTAAAAAAATGGTACAAAAGAGAGGGGGACTAGACCAAAACCTCTCACGAGGCATACCTCCAAAAAATGGATGGGGAATAGGATGAATGGTTTGGTTTTTAAAAAATGAGAGAATTCCCTAAAGAGGACCATAAGAAGGTGAAATTGCAAAAACAACACATAATGTTTTAGATTCCATAAATAGGACTAAAGATTACACTTTTACCCCTGATTAACCTATCCCAGTTGTGCGCCTTTCTTCTCTGCCCTCAACAATTGATCGCCGCCATTCTCCGAGTTCACATCCATCGACCAGGATACCTACCTCTACCATGGCCGCAGTTCCGCATCGACCGGCGCCGCCGCAGCTCCGCCATCGACCGGCACCGTCGCAGCTCAGCCATCGACCGGCGCCGCTACAGCTCTGCCATCGACCGCCGCCGCCGCAGCTCCGCCATCGACCGGCGCCGCCGCAGCTCTGCCATTGACGACTCCCCTAATTTGTCCAACCAAGTTAGGTCTTCTTCTTCTTGGTAACAACGGAATTCATTAAATTTGGTCCACAAAACTGTTACAATTGACTTATTGTAATAGTTTCGCGTCGTTACATTCGCTCGCTTTGCATTTGCTCTAATGTAACGGCTTGTAACGAAACTTATGATCAATTGTAATGGTCCTCACAAGATGCCATAAATGTTACATTATGTCGAGTACAAATGTAATGGTATGTAACATGCACGGTGGTAACGGTTTTGAAAATATGTTGTCCCAGATTAATTGTGTAATGTAACAGGTTTGAAAATACATTGGTCCTTGTTAACTATGTAATGTAACAGTATATATATTTGCGCACATGCAGCCAGGATGTTTTTACACACCTATATATAGCAATGAATGTAACTAGCTGTCCATTTAATTATAATTACATACTAAAGTGAAACAAATGTTGGTCCCAACATCAAATCCATTACATTACAAACCAAGCAACCTAAGTTGTTCAAAAGCATGCAAAGTAGCTATGTTAGAATTAAAGATCTTTGAAAGAGACATGAGTTTGATAATTAAGTTGCAAAATATTGAACATCAAGTTCACAAAGAAAAAGATTGTTTATCACTACTACTAGGAGAAGCTCAAGTCAGTCATGGGTATGCATCATTCATCATTTGATTCCGTACCATGTTCATCCTCGTGCGAATCTCTCACCTATAAACAAATATTTCAAATAATTAAGCACCCATGAGTAAGCTTTAATGGTCAACATAACCTGAATGCATTTTTATGTTTTCTGCCTGTTGCATGTACATCAATTTCATGGAGCAGTGTGCTTCTACCAAAATATAGACCACTGAATCGTGAAACTGAATTTGAAAACTGCATGTTACAGTAACTCTAAAATGCTCAAAGCCTTTGATATAGTACAATTTATTTAATAAAAAATGATGAAACAACCTGGAGGCACCTTACAATCAAAGAGAGTGTTATCATGTTCAGTACAGAATACAGAGAACAGAGAACTGCCTCATGTGTGAAAGTAAATGACTATACATCATAACAAACATTTTAACTAACATCTTGTGTTTTTTAGGAAACTTACAGTTTGTTCAATTTGTTAGCTAACTTCTAAATACTTTAAGAATACTAATCTGTTTGATCTAGAGCTTAATTTCAGAATGCTTTGAAGTGGGATTGTGCCAGTCAGGAGTGTGGCTTTGCAAGAAGGATGGAGAGTGGAACGATGTAGGATTGACATTGAAGGAGAGGGAATATTGAAGGAGTTGACAAAGTGGCAGAAGCTGGATTCATGTTAGATTAATATCAATGTCAATGCAAAGGTGTATGAAAGTAGAGCTAGAGAACCTCCTTAACACAAACTGTGAATTTTTAATTTTCAAGCAGGTTTTATTTGTTCATTTACAAATTTACAATACAAATTGGCAGCTGAGTTATGTGCTTCATTTCAGTAACCCCTAAACCTTTACACAACCATATAAAGTAACATGGTGCAACCTTAATTTGTACAATTCCACCATCATGCATTTTTCAACCTCATAATACCTTCCAACATTGTTAAATAATAGACCAAAACCATTTTCAGAACAATCAAATGATTTCAAACAAGTTATATTACCTTCAACATTGAGTGTGCTCTAACAGAGGATTGCCCATTAGACCCATCTACCTCATGTCCTGATGATTGGTTTTTTGAGGACACACAAAACTCTGGAATGTTCAAACTTATCCCAGGATTAGTTGCCTTTATTTGTGAGAGTACCATGGACGCTACATCTTTTGCAACTTCCTGTTTCAAATGTTTTTTCATGCTCGGAGCCAACTGTTCTTTGACACTTTGCAAGAACTCCTCTGGCATTACGTAGCTAGATTGCTTATTGTTAGTTTCCTTCATTTTAGACTTGGTCACGCCCCGACCACGAAGGCGTATGAGCCTATTCTGCTCAGCACCGAGGTAAATCTTTGTCATGCATTGACCATCCACAATTCTCATCCTGGACTTCTTATACATAGTGGAATCTGACGGCTCTTCTTTATTGGGATCCTCATTTTTCTGTTAACATATATGTTTAAGGTGGAATATATAAATGAAGTGTGTAAATAATTACAAGCATGAATAATCTGATTTTAAATAACATGATCAAATCAGAACACTATTACCATTGTATGACACAATAATGCGAATGATATTGGGCCCAAATTGTGTGAGTCATCATGCTTCATGCGATTTTGCCTATTGGTATTGCTTTCCTCCTACAATTTTCATAAATCAACTTCATATTAGACATATATAATATGATATACATCCCTACCTTCCCGGTACGAATATTATACGTACCTCAACATCTTCGAGGCTCCAGTAGTTCAAAAGATCTAGGAACTGTTGATTAGGAACACTCTTTGGCCGATTAGCCCATCTTTCTTCTACTGTATTGTATTTATAAAAATGTTTTTGCTTCAATCTTGGCTTGTGAACAGGCCACAAATCATTAAGGGTAGCAAAAACCCACCTTTGTCCTTCCGTAGGAACAACATACTTCTCCTGCATCAGTTTTACATACATAGCAACCACACTCAACTTTGCATATTTCATCTAAATCATCTAAAATAAAGATCAATAAACTATAACAGAGTGTTATGAACTTACCAGGACGTAATTCCACATATTGTCTAACTTAGTTTGCAGAACCTTATGCCAAGTAACATAATTCAAAGGTGCAAGTTTTGAATCTCTAGCCACGGTGCCTAGGAACCAATTGAATTCACAAACAACAGCTGGAGTAGGCCCAATTGGTTGCCCTGATTCATTCAGAATAACTATTGGCCATTCTTTAAACTTACGATTATGCACTGCTGCCATAACCGTCGGGCCTCTATGCTTCTTTTCTCCAGCAACTAATAACATTTACATGATAATTAATATACATAAAATCCACACATACGTGAAATAAAATGACAGACTTAGTTACCTTTCGATGAAGCCCTAGCACTTGCACCAACATCTTTTTTAGCTGCCACCTCATGTTCCATATCCGCTGCAGTGTCAAAAGAGTCTACATCATTGTCATGTTGTTCAGGACTATCAACTTGCCTCACCGGTGATGATTTGCTTACTTCCTCTTCAGCGTTCATGGAGTCTTCAGCGGTCATGGATTTGTTATGATTAACATTTTAATGATCGTTCTCACTTGAAGAATCTTCAGTATCAAGAAAAGTTGCTTCATTCTTTTTCTTTTTCAAAACTCTTGCCTTTTCCTCATTTCAAAGTACAAGGACATGGATCCTGGAGGGATTTGTTTGCCTTTGGATCAGAAATAGACTTCTTCATGTTGCCACATGTGCCCTGATCCTTGAGAACCCTTCCAACTTCATTATTTAAACTCACCTTAGCCAAAGTTTGAGTAGTTGATGCCCCAGAACTTCTGTCAACCTCTACCTCCTTACGTTGACCGTTTCCCTTCATTGATACCTATAAGGAAAAAATATTGAATTAACACTACAAAAACTTTAATATATTGACAGAATGAATATGCTACTTTCATACAAACAGAAATATATGTCCAGACCCATAACGTATATGAAGTAATGAAGTACTTCAGGAATCTTAACCTGTTTGAGAAAGGTTTGCTTGGTTTGGTCTTTCAACCTGTTTTGGACTTGTTTAAGTGCAAACTAAACCTTGACTTTTATAATTTATACTATTACATAAGTCCATTTAAACTGGTCTCCTAGTGGACCATGTGTGTCACACGTGTATTATGTATACATTATATAATAACAACATTATTTTTACTTTTATTTTACTAATACGACTATATTTTACACATTCAGATGACACATAACTCTGATTCCATAATCTTTTACTTAATTTCACATTTCCAGAAATACTTTAAACCAAACAAGTAAAACAACTATAAAGCAAGGGTATATACTCGATACTAAGAGAACAATCCCTACCCAGACTATAAATGTTTTAATTAACACACCTTTGGTTTATTTGATTCATCATGCTCATCACCACTCGGTATGTAATCTGTGTCTTCTAGGTCAACATCATTGGTAAACTGATTTGTGCTCGGTTTATCTTTCATTTGGAAGATCATCTTATTTTCTATACTTGGGGACCCTGCTGCACGCATTTTTTCTTCATTCATTTGCAGCCTCTTTAACCTTTCCTTTTCATACTCGGTAAGCTCTTCACGTTCGGCAGATTGAGAGGAACCTTTTTTTTCATATGCAGAATTGAATCAAATAAGCTCTAGATTAAAGATTGAATATTGGCATTCTACAAACTGTAATTACTAGCTAGTGAAAATAGCATTCCTACAAACTTTAATATGAAAATCTGAAATTTACATACAAATAGAAAGAAAAATGTATTACTAGTACAATTGAAAATCATCTTTAGGAAGGTTTTCCACTGCATAGTACCGGCCCTTCTTAGTGGGGTCTTCAACATAGAATGCTTGATGTGCTTGAGATGCTAAAATGAATGGTTCATTTTTAGAAATGAACCTGGAACGGTTAACTCGAGTAAGTCCATAATCATCTCTCTCAAAATGAAACCATGTGCATCTGAATAACACAAAACTGAACTTATCACTATAGTTTATCTCAATGATTTCTTGAACTGAGCCATAATAGGTAATGTCTCCAACAATAGGATTTTTGTCTCTACTACTCGCAAAGCTGGGAGTTTGTGCTGTCAGTGTGACTCCACTATTGTCCGTCACACAATTCGCATCACGGTCAGCAGTGTGGAATCTGAATCCATTGATAGCATATCTAGTATATTTTCTAGCTATGTGAGAAGTCCATGTACACAAGATTTTTATATGATCATGTACTTCAAGACCTTCTTGAATCTCATAGTCAACTTTCTCTCGGAACCAATCAATGAAATCTTTGTTATGGTTCTGGAGGGTGTCCCATTTTCTTTTATTTCGACTAGTAAGAGACGTCTTGTGTTAACTATATTGTAAAAACACTCTTAGGGTTAGTAAAAAAAATTATATGAAAAAATGTATAATACTATCGTAAAAAATAGCAACAGATCTTACTTATTGTATTTCTCAATCTCTTCACTCTCGCAGTTGAATAACACATAACGTTGCACTTGATTCTATGTCTCATGGTCAATCTTGAAACCAAAACATTTGTTCTTCTTTTTTCTGCCTTTCCCTTTCAAAGGATAGCCCGTCCTTGGAAATGTAGGATTCTGCTCATCACCCATATTTTCATGATTTGGATCATCTCTTGATGCGCGACTCAAATATCTAGGACAAAAGGGTTCACATTCATGAGTTAAGTAACCTTCTGCCATTGATCCTTCTGGACGTGCCTTGTTCTTTACGTGTGATTTCAACGTCCGAAGATATCTTTCAATTGCATACATGCATCTTGATGCAACTGGACCACCAAGTCTAATTTCTTCAACCAGGTGAATAGGTAGGTGAACCATTATGTCAAAGAAGGCGGGTGGAAACATCTTTTCAAACTCACAGAGAGTCTCAACTATTTCAGATTGCAACTGGTCCAAATCTTTAGGATCTACAACTTTAGACCATATAGCTTTAAAAAAACAGCACAGTCTAATCACAGGAGCAGCCACATCCTTATGCAGACTTGTTCTCGCAGCAATTGGCAGTAAATAGTGCATCATGAAATGTGCATCGTGGCTCTTATAATTAGCAATTTTCATGTCTCCGGCTTGTACACAACGTTTAATATTAGAAGCATAACCTTGTGGTAGTTTAGCTTCTTTTATGACTAAACAAAATGTCTGCTTCTCCTCTGAAGTCATAGCAAAGATAGCTTCTGGAATTTCAATAATTTGTCCATGTTCAGATTGTTTAGGTTTAAGCTCAGGCATAATGCCGAGTTCTATCAAATCCTCATGTGCTTTTATATGATCTTTGGTCTTTCCTGGGATGTTTAACAATGTGCCAATAACATTATCAAACACGTTTTTTTCTATGTGCATGGCATCAAGATTATGGCGACATTTATTAGTCTGCCAATACAGCAACTGAAAAAGAGCTAAAATTTTTCTCCATAGATTATGATCTTGATCCTTCTTCTTCTTTTTATGTTTCTTTCCAAATACATTTTTAAACTTGCTTAGCAATTGCACAATCTCAGTCCCTGTCAAGCGAATAGGGGCAGTTCTATTCTCTACACTCCCATGAAATTGCCTCCTATTACGTCGCCAATAGTGATTCTCACCCAGAAATCTACAGTGATCCATATAACAGATCTTTCCACTATAAGATAAACTTGTAGCGCTAGTTTCATAATGGCAACATGGACATGCCATCTTCCCTTTTGTACTCCACCCAGATAGCATTGCATAAGCTGGAAAATCACTAATGGTGGTGTGCAAAGCTGCATGCATAGTAAACATTTGATTGGTTGACGCATCATACGTTTCCAGCCCAAATTCCCATAAATCCTTTAGGTCGTTGATTAAAGGTTGCATATATACGTCAAACTCATTTCCCGGGGAAAGGGGGCCCGGAATAAGTAATGCAAGCATGAAATACTCTGGCTTCATATACATCCACAGTGGCAGGTTATATTTGATGAGCACAATTGGCCATTTGTTTTTTTTTTGACGAAAAAGATGATTTTATTCATACCAGTGAAGAATACAAAGGATGAAGCCAAAAAAAGTGAAAAAGTACAAAAAAGAAAATACATAGTAAAAAAAGAAAATAAAAAACTAGACCCAAGGAAAATCTCTAGACTGTGATCTAGTCCTCATGCTATGTCGCCTTTTGTTTTGTTGAGATTTCCTGTAGAGTTTAAGTTGTGTGCTCAGGTTGTCTGTTGGCAGACAGTTTTAAGAGGTGACGAACGTTGATTTACGACAAATTGTTCTGTTGAATTTGGTGTTTCCAATTTCTTCCTGGTTTGATATAGGAGGGCGACGATCGCTTTCCGTTGCATGTCCTAGAAAATCGTCTGAGAAGAAAGAGTCATCGGAATGATCAAAGCTGTCTGAGGCATCAGAGTACGTCTGAGTGAGTGGAATTTGCGGCTGTTTCTCAACAGAGAGGGGTTCTTGCTTCTTTCCATAAGCTTTCTGAACTTCGTAGTTAAAAAATTAATTTGGAAATAGTTATTTCCTCGGGATCAGCTAAAGCCTCATGCTCAAAATGTGTGAGATACTCCTGCTCAGTGCCGGACCCAGAAAGTCAGAGCCACGGGGTCCCTACCTTTTTATATCTTTTTTTTTTCTTTTTTTTACTCCAGGGGGTCTGGGGGAGGGGGGCGGGGAGGGGCCTGGAGTCCTGGAGTAATCAGGTCTGAAACTCACTCCATTGAGTTTCAAACCCTTATGTGCAGTGGCGGAACTAAGGGGCGAGCCAATGTCGGCGCTCCCCCTTCTCCGACGGTGGTTCTGTATGTATATATATGTATATATCTCAGCCCCAATTTAGAAAGTATTCATATATTAAATTGGAGTCTCTATTTAAGCATATGAGTTGTGATAGTTAAAATGGTAGGGTGGAGGTTGGGACACCTCTATCTACCTAAATGGCTCGGGTTCAATTCTCAGGAGCAATAATATTTTTTGCTTTCTCCATTATTGCTTCTTTAGACTTTAGCCCATTTGGTAATTATTTGTGTTCAATTAAATCACTCTAGGATGTAATGTTGTTTAAATCACACTTTTTGAATTTCTATATCTTTTATTTTAAATTCTCATTTCTTCAATTCAAATTAATTTTAATCATTTCTTCTTCTAATAATGACATATACGGACGTTGTGTCAAGAATAATTCTAAAACTACTTTAAGTTCATATAAGTATTTACCTTTTGTTTAGTATAATAGCATTTTTATTTGAGACACACTACATATACATATATATAAGTTTCGGATCAAATAAAAAGAGTTCTTATCGTGAAAATTGATCGAGAATAAATCTTGTGCATTTAACTTGAGATCCGATGAGTCAAAATCAGTCAACAATGCACTATATTTTATCAAAAACTCGGTGACAATTTGATAAATAAATCAAAATTTTCTATCATTGTGAAAAAGTGTAAAATAAATATCTACTAGTGTACCAAAACGATTAAAAAATGCGTCCGTTCTCATTTTTCACGGGAATAACTCTTTTTAATAGAACCTCACTCTATATGTATTAATAATTATTTTTCACTCGTTTTTATTATATCCTGATAAAAAATTGTTTTTCAAAATAAAATATAAGAGCACCCCTCAAATTATTGTCTGGTTCCGCCGCTGCTTATGTGCCTAGCGGGTTTCGAAATCGAGACCTCCCACTAGGCATGATAATAATACAAGTATAAAACTAATAAATAAATTGATTCAATTCTTCATTTACTAATGACGAATCATTTGAATTAACACATGAACTACTCCCGGGACTCTAGGTTTCTTTAAATTTGGGTACAACATCAAAATATCTTTTCATCGTAAATCGTATAAAATTGAAAATAACATTTATAAATACATGAATTTATTAATATAATCTAACATTAAAAAAAAAGATATGCAATCCAAAAATAATAACCTGAATTGTTGAGCACTGAAGAGATGGTGATATCCCCGACTTTTCTGATCTGACGATTAATTTGTTTTGATCTTGTGAGTTGGTGGAAAAATGGTAGATCTGGGGTAGAAGCTCTATTTTGAATCCAATCCTATGTAGCATGGATTTTTTAATTTCAAAAATTTTTGATTTAGTTTTGATAGAATCAAAACCCTCTTCTCCAAAGAATAGAAATTTTTCTACCTCGGGTGAATCATGTGGGGAGACCGTCACTCTTTCAGCCGGGTCCATAATTGATGAGGCTTTGGGTACCTTCTCTTTCGGAGTAGCGACGTGGCCTGTGAGGCTGATTTTGTCCGCATCCAATCTTACAACGTCAGCCCATGTGAAGGCTGATGCCTTACCAGATGTCTCAGCGACATACGGACTGTCAAGGAGTGGAGCCACCGGCATGGAGGTGGTTTTGTTGGCATCGGTTCTTGAATCTTCGACTGATTGAGCCACCGGCTTAGCGCTCGCCGGCCTCTGTCCTGGGTTGCCGGAACCGGATGGTGTCCTCCCATCGTCGCTTAAAATTCTCCGTCCCTCGTTTATTAATCCTTTCCCATGTTTGTTAAACCTTTTTGTCCTACGGTGATTGCTCTTAAAAATAGGCGTGATTTCTGGTTGGAAATCAAAATCGCACTCTTGCGCTGAAATAAGGATTTCTTCATCGAAACCTAAGCTATGATAACGATTAGCGTTATCTACAACCCCAATTTGTTCCGGGAAAAAATGATGGTGCGTCGAGGAGCTATGTCGTAGGTGAGGGTGGTGGCGCAGTCCCCTGTTGACTGTGCGTCAGCCATCCTCCGTTTCTCGTGTTTGTGGTCTGAGTGGAGGGTGTACATGGTAAGATTGTACCTGTTGAGTTTGATGAGCATCTAGTCTACGATCCAGGCGGTTTGACTGCGTGTCCTGACTTGTGCTCCTCCGGATTACAGTAGGTCCTGGGATATTGGACCGCCTTTGGATAACGAGATGATAAACTCAATGATTCTGGTGCGTAGAGCCTGGGATGATTATCCGGCTGCCGATTCCTGCGATGGGGAGGAAATCTGGCACTACGCCAGTAGCGAGAGTCTAGGTAATGGTTGAAACAATTACCTTCTCTTGGAGTGTATTCTCTGGAAACTACCGTCAAACGACCTGGGATGGGTATGTCTATACCCTGGAAAATACTATTTTCTATGGTAGTTGTCGCCCCTAGACCATTCGTTGTAGCGTTGACTATTCCCTGAATTGTAGAAGCTGTAGTCTAGGTGATGGTTCCAGCGACATGAAGGATGCCGGAATTCCATATGCGCTATCAAGAGTTGACTGGATTTTTTGAGAGATGGAGGAGAATCTCTCTCTTCATTGTGATCAAGAGGAGCACAATTGGCCATGTACTATGGGAGATGCTCATATTATTAAATGGGTTAAATCCATCTGCTACCAACCCTAACCTCACATTAGGCGGATCTTTAAAACATCTTCCTATATACAAACAGCTGTGGGAAGCCAGGTCAGATTCCCGCCCAAAGCTACAGTATTCAAACGGGTCGGGTCAGGTATACAGGGTCAGACGGATGGGCAGTGCGCATGACAAAGTAGTGCATTAAATGTTTGTGGGGTACGAAGCATTAAATGGATGTTGCAAATTTCTATTCAATACTTTTTTGGTCCTTTAATACAGAAGCAGTTCGAATTGTGTTTTGAATTCGGCCAATTGGAATCTTCTCAATTTTAAAAGATCTTGCATTAAATGAAGTCGTACCATCATATCTTATTGGGCCGCACAACATATCAATATATATCTTCAAAGTACATTGGCATTAAATGCAAAGCAACTCCACAATACTTTCAAACAGAATTTAACCATGTCTGTTGGTTTTTACCATATGTCTGTTGGTTTTTAACCTCCTTTTATCTTCTGGTCCGAAATTCTTACAAATATCTATTCACAATAAACAAGCCCAATTGTAGTATAAATACAGTGCCTCACTTGGTCGTGAAACACATCTCACACGATCACACAACATCTCACAACATAAAATGGCAGAAAACTCAGGAATGTATGCATGTATCTGTGAAATTGATCACACCCAAACATCTTGGGCTATAAAGGTAAAGGTTTTGGGCATATTAAATGGCAAAGGCTATAGTTGGTGTTCATTGATGCAGGTAGTTTGAAACCATTATTATACCAAGAATATAATTTGTCTTTATATTTATTAACATATGCAGGGTTAAAAAATACATGGTGTGTAGTAACGAGGCCAATGTTGGGGATGTTCAAATCCAAGATAAAAGAATACTGCGTATTGGATTTTATTAACTTTTACAAGTTATGTAGTTGCGAACATTGAAGTGAAGAAGCTAACCATATCAACCATTGTCAACGGTAATGGAAGGACAAAGAGAGTTTATCAAGGTATCTAAATGGTACCATTACATACATGAATTTTTAGTATAACATAATTTATATGATAATATATTAAACTATAATAGTAGTATATTTTATTGAATAACACAATTTAATGATATAGTACGTAGTATAATAATAAAGATTCAACATGTATGGTAATAGAGTAAATAGTATAATAATAATAATAATAATTATTATTATTATTATTATTATTATTATTAGTATTAGTATTAGTATTAGTATTATTATTAGTATTATTATAATAATTCAGTAAATAGTGTATAGATAAAATAGTCTCATAATATAGTATAATATATTCGTTTAGTTACCAAATGTTTTATAGTATATAACATAAGACTATATTTATGTATGATCTAAATCTAAATGTTATAATATATAGAAAGATATATATATATATATATATATATATATATATATATATATATATATATATATATATATATATATATAATATGAATTTTAATCACTCAAAAACAAATTTTAAAAGTCAGAAATTGGTTTCAACATAAAAGCTATATCAAAAGGTCTATGAACAGACATATAACAGGTTTAAACCCCAAAGTTTTTTATTTATTATCTGTCCATACAATGTTTATGTGAAAAGCTACTGAAATGTATGACAATTTGTACTTTAAATCTCAATATTTCGAGATTATAGTACACCTTTGTCACATCAGATTACTTCACTGACACAAATTTAAAGAACAAATATCATGTTCATCGGCCACCAAACACAGATCTCATATTTACCCAGACCTGATAGTGAAACGGTATATCCGATAGGATTTTTTATCCTCAAACGGTACACAAATCAACAAGTTTACAGACCTTAGTAAAAAGTTTCAAAACAGTTTTGTCAAATGAATGTATATCCATAACTGCATGTCATCCATTCCACAAAAAGTAGAAATATCTCAAACAAATTAACCGGTAAAGAAATGAGATCTATGAAAACCGGTAAAATACACATGAACTACAATCAAAATATTAAAATGTTTGAGGAGGAAATTTTGGAAAGATAAATATACCAAACGACTAGACGCAGCCGCTATTCATTCCGATTCGGCCGGAAGACCCGCGAAAACAACGGACGACTACCGCTCCATAACATCCCATCTACACAGCCCACCAACCTTCTCAGATAGCCTGAAAAGCCATAATCACGAAGGACTACACGGAGGATAGCGAGGGAGTAGGTTACGGGCGGAGGGAGAACGACGCTGAATGTTCTGGAGACCATCGGTCTAAGACTTTAACCGATGAGTCTTCAGGAATTGAGAAATACGGAGGGGCTGGAGCGGAAAAGGGGGATTACATACTGCAGGGGTATAGTTGGGTAGGTTTAGGTATTTTATAGTTGGGTTGATAGGAATGTTGGGTTCATTCGAATTTATTGGGTTGTTGGGTCATAAATTGCTGGATTGGGTCCATTTCAACCTATAAATTCTTGATCCTAATTCTTACTGTTAAAATTTTCATTTGAATAAAATTCAAAAATGTTTAATTTTTATAATAAATGTTAAGAAAGGTTGGGTTGATAGGGTTTAGTTAAACATTAAAAAAAAAAGTTTAAAAGATATTACCCGAAATAGGACTAAATTAGTTTGAAAATTCTAAAATAGGGTTGTCATGTTTTTATTCCCAAAATAGGACTAATTACTGCCATATTTTGGCAGTACCAGACTTCGAACATGGCAGTATTTTCTAAACATGGCAGTAATTAGTCTTATTTTTTGGAATAAAAAACATGACAGTCCTATTTTGAAATTTCCTTATTGTTTTAGTCCTATTTCGGGAACTTTCTCAAAGTTAATTTAAAGCTTCATTATTACTTCTAATTACGAATGTGCCATTTTTTAAGTTCCTTTCATAGGGGCATTGGGTTTATGTAATTTATTTATCTAATTTGAAATGTCTATCAATTTTAGATTTAAATGTATATATTGTTTAAATAAAATGTTTTTTTGGCTTTTATTCTGCAAAAAACGTTGACTGTGCGGTCAATAGACAACATTCTTCTCGACTCATAGGAATCAATTTTGGTTCTTCTAATGTTGTTTATAAAGAAGCTTTCAGAATTTGCAGTTTCATTACTATTTTCAGAATGTTATTATTTTACTTAGCACTTTGTACTTGAAGATGTTATATCTCTTTTATAATATTTACATTTTCCCTTCTTTGAGGATGCTTTAATCTGTCTTTAACTATGAACAATTATTATATTAATTATTTACTACTTTATTCTAAGTTCAATCATTAGTTCGTTTTTATAATAGACTTCTTAATCACACATTGGTAAATTTTAATCCGTGCATCGCACGGGTGAGTATCTAGTTGGATACAGTGTATCAAAATCTTTCCAAGCCTCACCGTCAGCCGGATGCCTTAGAAATCCATCATTCTGCTGCCTATTTGCATGCCAAGTCATATAACTAGCGGTCTCTGAGGACATAAACAATCTTTGCAACCTTCTTTTGATAGGAAAGTACCTCAGAATCTTCGCTGGAATTCGATGACACTTTTTACTGTTGTTGATGGAGTATATGGCCCGGGAACACCCGGCCCACAGACCCTACTACTCCAGTAGAGGTCCAACAGGCCCAGAAGGCCCAACAGGCCCAAATCACGGCGCCCAGAATACCAAGCAGCCCGCAATACGCACCAGGGGCGCCTTCGGCCCTCTGGCCGAAGGCTCCAAACTATCACAGCATGGATATTTCGAACAAACAGAGGAACTGGGAAAAAACGGCGAAAACAGTAGCCCTCGGCACTCATGAGTCCTCGGCACTAAGAGCCCTCGGCAAGTCCTCTGCAGCCGAGGGCACCTCTCCCAACATGATATCCGCCTCACATGCGTACAGATCACCGTACCCTGTACAGACGTCCCATCCAACAGCCGCATTAAATGCGGCCACATGCGGCTGCCAACGCCAACCAGTTGAGGTGACCCCTCGGCCAATAGGCGCTTGACACGTGTCCCTGTCCGTCATTTATTGCTACTATAAATAGCACCCCATTTCCCCATTTGTAACCACGCTGAAAACGCTCCACATTTATAATACTCTCTCTCTCTCTACATTTACTTGCTCTGACTTCTCTCCAAGTTATTCCTAGCAATAACCCTTCGGATATATACCCCCGGGTAGACTATCCATCATTTGGTGCTCTCGTTGAGAGGTCGAACGATCGAGTAAGAAAACCTCCCCCTTCGCCAAACACTAGCCCTCTACCAAAATGGTGAGAACAACACGTGTCAACTCAAAAAACG